TCACGTTGGCCGTTTTCTTCAACTCCCACTGGGTTGTGCATCATGCGTATGCACCACAAGGCCAAACCATCAGAAAGGAATACTACCAGGAGGTCCTTCGTCGCCTTCATGATGCTGTGCGGCACAAATGACTGGATCTGTGGGCAGCAAAATCTTGGCAGGTCCATCATGATAATGCACCCGCCCATTCTGCGCATCTGATTCAGACTTTCGTTGCCAAACATAACATCCCTGTGATTCGTCAGGCTCCCCACTCCCCCGACATGGCTCCGTGTGACTTTTGGCTATTTCCCAAGCTGAAAATGCCGCTGAGAAGAACCCGATTTGAGTCAAGAGAAGACATCATGTGGAATGCGATGGCCGGGCTGATCACCATTCCAAAAGACACGTTCCAGAAGTGTCTCCAACAATGGCAGAAGCGCTGGGAGAAGTGTGTGCATTACCAAGGAGACTACTTTGAAGGCGATTAGGGTTTTGTACCTCCACATCAATAAATGTATTTCTGCCGAAAAAAGGTTCGACTTTTTGAACACACCATGTATAATACCCATCATCATTAAGTCCCCACAGGAGATCGTCAACGACCAGGCTCCACAGCGGAGGTGGAAGCACGTCCCCCTGCGGACGCTCCCAGGGTCTCTCCTGATAGTGTGGCAGCTATGGTTCTGCTTTCCAGCATAGCACTAATCCATCTGCATATTGCAGGCTCTATGCCATGCTTTCCAGCAGCCTGTTTGATTATATCAAATGAGGTTCTATCGAAAGCTCCCTCTATGTTGAGGAATGCTCCTAAGGCAATATCCTTGTGTTCAATCACACTTTCTATGCATGTTACCACATTATGTAGTTCACTTAAGGTAGATTTACCTGTTTGGTAGTCATGCTGGTTTCAGTGTAGAGGATATGTCCTCAGCGCCCCATCCCTGATATGCTTATCTACTATTTTCTCCATCATTTTCAAAAGGAAAGACGACAGGCTGATAGGACGATAAGCCTTAGCCTCAATGTAATCTAGTTTCCCTGGCTATGTGTTAAATGTCACCGTAACTTGCCTCCATGTCATTGGGATAAAACCATATGCCATGCAGGCTCTATATATGCGGCACAGGTGTGGAACTAAGAGTTCTGCCCCATTCTGCAAAAGTGCCAGTACAATTCCATCTGTTCCCTCTGACTTAAATGGTCTAAACATATTCAGTGCCTGTCTGATTTTTGATTGGTTAATTATAACTTTGGCCAGGTTCCAGTCTATCCTGTTCGTCTTGCTTTGGCAAGTACCCAGGTTTTGCTGACCCTGTCCATTGTCCAAATTATCAATCAATTTTGAATCAGGATAGTGAACCCTGAATAATTCATTCACTGTCTCCCATTCTGTTTCAGTATACTGCCCGTTAGGCAGCTTAATCGTGCTGACATTGTTTGTTGCTTGTTTTGCCATGATCCTCATGAGTCTGCCACTGCCTGGTACATCATTGATCTCCTGGCAGTGCCTCCTCCATGAGGATCGGTTGGCTTTTCTTATTTCTTTGTTCTAACAGATAAGGGCTTCCTTGTAGGTGTCCCACTGCCCTGTTCTTTTAGCTGTATTGAACAGCCTTCTCGTTTTGGTTCTAAGNGGTGCCTATTACGTGGCCGTTTTCCCGTACTGTCCGATCGAGGCTACATACGGAGCAGCGAAGGCTATTCACAGTCAGTTCTAGTGTGGCTACCGCAGAGTTGTACTGTGACAGCCGCCGAGTCGAGACGTAGAGTCAGCCAGTCAGTTGTATTCTGGCATTTGGAGTGTACTAATTGTGATACTGCAGATAGCAGTAATCGTCAGATTGTAATTTGGGTGATTGTATGAGCGGATGTGAAATAAAATTCGCTACATCGAATACATCGAGAATTTATTTGTCGCGATATACGCCCGACACGCGACAATATTTACCTTTAGGTCGTCTTTGTAAGACTCCCAATTGGTTCTCTGAGAATTCCTATAAGTAGCATGATCTACTGCTATGTTACTTATTTGAAAGCATATATATCTGTGATCCAATAGGGACAGCTCATCAGATACATGCCATTTACTGATCAGGTTTCCTATTTTATTGGTCCTAGTATCAAGTTGATAACCTCCTGCCTATTGCAAACCACAAAGGTAGGCTCATTACCCTGGTTTAGAATATTGAGGTTCGAACTCACCAATCATTCCATGAGGCATTCTCCTCTTCGGTTGATATCACTGCTTCCCCACAGTATGTGGTGCGCATTGGCATCACACACAATAATGAGCTGCTTTGTCCTAAAATGACAATATTCAACGATGTCCCTCACTTCTTTGGAAGATGATGGTTCATCCAAGGCATATGGAAGGTAGGCTGAAGTGACGATGAGTTCCTCACAGCCTCCACCCAAGGCATACGTCATCCTCACCGTTGTTATGTCTCTGGAACAAAACTCAAGCAAGGGTAAAGCATTAATATGATTATTAACATATATGCATGATCTCACATTTTCTTCAGGAGCCACAGAGTAGACTGTTCCCCCTGATTTCGTTAAGCCTCTTATTTGGCCCCTATATATCCAAGGTTCCTGAATAAGTGCTACGTCTACTTTTCCTTCAGCAAGTTGTCGACATAAAATTGCCGTAGCAGCCTTGCTGTGGGGTAGATTAATCTGAATGAATCATATTTTATGTGTAAATGTCATGTGTGTATGTATGTATGTATGCTGTGTGTTCATTCTGTAATGCTGGAAAGGTGTCCTCCTAAATACCTTTTACTCTATCAGACCTAGTTTCTTCTGAAGGAGATCCCTGATCTGGTAAGGTCGGGTTGACGGGAGGAGGGATTGCCTCCTTCTCATCACATATTCTCTTCTGGTCAACTGAGGGAGTGGATACATCATCCCCTTCCCCCTCAGAGACCAAGTTGGATGATGCTGTATCTGACACAGGTTCTGCCCGGCGCTGATCCTCAGGATCATTGAGCACCTTAACAGTCTCCTGTGAGAGTCCTGTGAATATTTTATAACTCGTCCTCTGTATAATAGTATGGGAGTCCCGGTCTATGTATAAGATAAGCCTTTGGTCTTTCGACTCAGATTGTTTATCTAGTGCCCTCCAGTTCTCTGTATGAAGTCCTAGATTGAGGTCTGCAATCCATTTCAGCAGCTCTTCCTGATTCTGGGCAACTTTGTCCCTAATCCAGAGAGCCACTTTAACAGGCTTGGGCAGGTTCTTGGCATCAGTAGCCTTCAGCCTGGCCCCTAATTCCAGCCTGTGGTTGTCAATGGCTTTGGTGAGCCATTGACCAGATTGATGGTCGGCACATGCATAAATAAGTGCACCTCGCACTAGTCTGTAGGATTTCATGTGTGGTAGTTCTCCCTTTGGAGTTCTATGTAACACCTCTGCCAGTGCTTCCAGAATGACATTCTGGTCATCTTCGGTAAGCTTGTCCTCAGGATAAGTTTCCTTGAAGATAGCTACTTTTATGTTGGTCAGAGCCTCCTTGTGAGTCCCTGGTCTCTTAGAGTCCCTGGGCCTTTTCGGAGTTATGGCCATTTCTGTAGGGTTACTGCCCTCCGACCTTGGGCTCTTAAAGATGCTGGTGCGCGTTTCTCCGTGCTTGGACGAGCCTGCATTTCCTGGTTGCTGACTGCCCCCAGTTCCTGCTTTGCTTGCCCCAGCTCTTGCCTTTCTTAACTTCTGTCTAGTGCATCCAGACAGGGCTTTCTTCGCCAGACGGATGCTACCTACTCCAGAGACTAGGTGTTCCAGTCCTTCTCCTGCTGCAGGTGTATTAGAGGTACTAGCCCCCTATAGTGGTATGTCAGTACTACTGACTCCCAATAGAGTTTTTGGTTTTGCCTCAGGAAGGTTTGAACCACTGGTTGGTCCCTGCCTTTGGCTTAAAATTCAACAGCAGGTTCGTTGGCTGCACCTGGGTCCCTTAGTGGTTCACTAGAGCTTCCAGCCCCCTGCTGAAGCATTTCTCATAGGGATCCCCTTGTAGGGGGGTCCCCCTTCAGTTTAAGGTCCTTATGACCGGTTTTGTTTTTGGTTTCTTTCATTTTGCTCCCACGAGTTTTGGGAATTTAAAAGGTCACTACCCGCAGTGCCCCATACGGGTGGAAGGCATAAATACAACGGGGTGCTGCCTGGTGCCCCGAGGGGATTGTTCAAGACACTGGCTAATTTCCACCCCAGTGCCATGCAGCCTTCAGCACGATGCCTCACACTTTGGCTTAGATGGTCTGGTCCTGTTGAATGAAACCCTCACAAGCCTCCAGGACCCAGAGTGCCTGTTCAAGGGGAGTGGGATATCCCAGAAGATTAATGGGAGTGTGACACTAGTTAGTCATGAGGTTGTGACCAGGGCACCGAAAGTTGCCCCTGGGGAGTCTTATGAGCTCCCCCCATTCCCACCCCTCCACATGGGTTGGTCAAACCGTTTGAGTGTTGAGCCCTAAGGCTTGCGGCACCTTATCAGTACTCTAGGGAGACAACTGAAATAGCTGAAACTACCCTATAGGAGTGCTCTCCCGCATTCATCCCAGGTACGCCATAGTGACACCCAAGAGTCATTATGCCACCAGCCCTCTAAGGTCATACTGATCCAGACCCCCAAGACTGTTGTTGCCCGGCGGGACCATGAGGAGGTGTCCCAAGGCTGTGTCCCAACACATCCCTGGTCCATGATACGTCCCCACCAAAGACACAGCGTGGCTTGGCCAACCTCACCGAGGATGGCATCATTACCACCACCACCTAGCAATAAACATAACTAGTGTATAAAGTTCCAAAATACAATATTTAAACAGATGCAAATATAACCAAAGCACCTGTAGTAATGGAGTATATAAAAGTGCTGTCGAAGTTACCAGTTCTGTGGCTGAAAATAATTCTTGTATGTTAAAATGATTACCATTGTGACTGCAAAATTGTAACACTCTCTTCAGTAGCTGTGGCAATTTTAAATATCAGAAATCCGTTATTGTGAGTGCACCTGTTTCAGAATTCTTTGAAGACAATGTATGAGTCTGCTCGATCAGACTTCAGGCGAGTGGAGGAGGCCACAAGACTTAGTAATTCAGATCGGCTGCCCCCTGGATTTTCCAATGAGCTACAGACAATCACCTCAGTTGCTAATGAATTGTGTTTGTTTCTCACAGCACGTATTGAATTAATTGATCTGTATCCTTCAGAAAATAAAGAATTCAGAATTTTCTCGATCTCACAGTATGTATTGATCTCTATTCTTGAGGAAATAAAGAATGAAAATGTTGTCAGGATGGAATTCAAAGAATGTCTCCTGAATAAACACAGGCCTGCCAGCACAGGTCAGGCTCAGTTAATACAAGGGTGATTAAACTGTGAAAGTTACATGAACATGATTTTAATTATACAGTAAGCAGTTTATGTAAGGTAACTTCTATGTATATTGCGGGATAAGAGCCAAATGTCAAATTTTCAGCCCCTAGAAGACCTTAGGCCTAGGCACCTTCAGAATATCATCTTCATGCACCTACACATTTATGCCAGCATTAATACATTTCTGTGAAATATCTGTGGAAGTAGTCATGTTCAACCTGATATAATGCAGCCACTTTAATCTCCGTCATGTCCTTTATGTGACAAGGGCCAGGAATTTGTGGAAAAAGGTCAAACCCACATGGTGTGAAATTGGTAGTATACGAGTACAGTGGGTGAGGAAAATCAGGAACCAATGTACTGGGGGATAGACATGGAGAAAACCCAGCCATTGCCTGCCTACCTTTTGGGACACTTAGGCAAATATTCTCTCACAGATGAGCAAGCACCTGTTTGTGCACAGGGGCAACTTTACTTTTTTACCTTGCATTTAATAAATTCCACTCCAAAGGTGATAATAAATGTACTAGATTAGTATCTCTGTGAATGCTACATGATAAAAGAAGTGTCACATGTCAGAGTAATGACAGCTACTGACTTAAAAATGAAAATATATTCAGAGAATGGACATATCAAGTATACACATGGTATATTAGTGAATCAGCCATTATCACAGAATTGAGGTGATTGACAATATTACACAAAATTCCTTAGCTTAATATTTAGCTATGAAAAGATGCATCTTATGGGCATGGGAAAACAGATGAAATATGAAGAACTGCTTGTGCAAGTTAAAGATATTATGGAAAGAAATGCACCATCCGTTCCTCAGATGTGTGTTACTCCTATAGGGAATATGCTCAGGTAATGTATTCTCTTAAAAAGATGCAGACAAAAGAAAAATAACAGGAGATTGGACATCTGTAGTCAAGGAGGCCAAGGTCCTTTAAGGACTATAGAGCCAAGAAGTAAGTAAGTAATGTACTATGCTAGTAATAGAAATGTTACAGAGTTTTTGCAGTTTTGAAACAATCGTTGCATTTAAAACATGCCATGTACATTTCTTCAAATGTCTGGCACACTTCTGAAGAGGGCCTAAAACGACAGCTCTAAGCTAGGATGTAATACTGTGAAGTCTGGTAGAAGTCAGCCTTGTGCTGTATTACACAACACGACTTCCTAGAAGATAAACTCTTTTTGACCTAGACCTATCACTTCAGTTAATCAGTAAGTGAATCTATTGACTATCTTGTAAAAATAGATTCTGCTTCATCTCTTCACAAATTTAGAATGATTGTTGGTATAATTGTATGTGTAACATTGTATCTAATTGAGGTATTCAATTTAGATTTTAACTGTGGTTGAATTGATGTCTCTGCGATTTTATCTGTGATTGTCTTGTGACTGTTGTTTGACAAGTTTTATATTCAGTGCCAGTTGCACGCTTATGAATACTCTGAAATGCTGATGTATGTATGTTTGTATGTACTTAACTGAAGGAAATGAAATTCACATATATTATACTGAAAAATTTTAACAGTAATTTCTTTTGGGCTTGATGACATACACTTCTAATGGCTGTGTCCTGTCTGCAAGTCATTGTTTTAGGGTCCCTGATTTATTACATTTGTTTACGGTTTATTTAACAATGCTGCCTTTAGCTCAGACTCTGTAGTTGCATTTGAGATTTTCACAGCAGTGACTGTGAAAAGTACATACTCTCTACTAAGATTTTATGCCAAGCAGTCTATTAGAACTTCTACCAGACTATACAGCCGCAAATCCCAGAAGATAGTACTTTTCTGACTGTATAACTTTGAATAGTAGGATGATCAGTGGAGAGTGGAAGGTGTGGAAGGAAGCAGTCATGGTTGGCATTCACCAGGAGAGACTGAGGAAAACTATGAAAATCTTTGGTACATATAGCTGGCTTCCAGCCCACGATATGAATCTAGAACTCTGAATGCAAACAAGAGTTAGACCCACTCAACTGTGACAGTCTCATATTATGGGTCTTGTTCTTCCACTGAAATCATTAAAAGTTCCCATCAAACAGATGACATTCTCTCATGGTGTTTGGTAGGGCCTATAAACTTCATAGCATGTTTGCTTGTACAAGTGTAAGGGTAATTTTCTGAAACCTGATTTTGAGTGGTCCTACTATGGCGTAAAGTTATGGACAATACTTCAGAGTGTGAACAAGCACACTAAATTAACACAACTGTGGGCCAAAACAGATTTTATGTTCTCATATTAACCTTTAACATCTGAAGTGCCCTGATCGGGCCAGTGAAGAGTATGGTCGTCATGGTCAAAGTACCCCGTTTTGGCCAGTCAGTCATATAAACTCTGCTAGTAGAAGTGCGTGCACAGTCCTAAATATTTATTTTTAAATGTAGTAATTACCAGACAGACTTGAGTAAAACAATAATAAAGGAATTAAAATGATACCTATGTGAACAACAGCAAAAAAGAATATACGTATGAGTTATGCCCAAACTCATCCACAAGCCAGTACTTTTATTG